CCCCTTATTAATGGGATTTTTATGGAGTTTTCTTATGTAGGCAAAATTAATTATTAAGTCCATTTCCAATCTTTCTCTCCTCTCTAGAGAACTGGGAGTGGACCTAAAACTTCCAAGCTTCTAGTCATGGCTTGGTCTTCCTGGTGACTAGTACTCATCCAGGAGCCATCCTGGAGCCCTCCCAAAGTTGCCTCATTAGAACAAAAGATGCTCTAGTCACCCAGGAAATTACAAGGGTTTTGGGAGCTTTTTGTCAGGGATGGAGGGGAGGGGCAGGGAGAGGGACCAAGTATGCATTCCTTATTATGAATCACAATATCACATTGTGTTCTCTGTTTTCTGGTTTTCACCCACCTCTTTTGCAGGAGGAACAGCGGCCTGTAAACAGAGAACAGGGAGATGGATTTTTTTCTCATACTTTGGAGGCTGGTCAGGCTTGAAGTGTTCTGTCTCAATCAGTTGTTGGTTTCTGACCTCCTCTCTCTGACTTTTGTATCTCTTCAGATGCGTGTGACATCACCTTTGACCCTGACACAGCACACAGGTATCTCCGGCTGCAGGAGGACAATCGCAAGGTCACCAACACTACGCCCTGGGAGCATCCCTACCCAGACCTCCCCAGCAGGTTCCTGCACTGGCGGCAGGTGCTGTCCCAACAAAGCCTGTATCTGCACAGGTACTATTTCGAGGTAGAGATCTCTGGGGCAGGCACCTACGTTGGTCTGACCTACAAAGGCATCGACAGGAAAGGGGAGGGGCGCAACGGTTGCATTTCCGGAAACAACTTCTCCTGGAGCCTCCATTGGAACGGAAAGGAATTCACTGCCTGGCACAGTGACACTGAGACTCCGCTCAAAGCCAGCCCTTTCCGGAGGCTGGGGATCTACGTCAACTTCCCAGGAGGGACCCTCTCCTTCTATGGCGTGGGGCCTGATGCCATGACTCTGGTTCACAAGTTTGACTGCAAGTTTTCAGAGCCAGTCTACCCTGCATTCTGGCTTTCCAAGAAGGAAAACAACATCCGGATTGTGGATCTGGGAGAGGAACCACCGAAACCAGCGACGACTTCAGTGGAGGCTGCTCAGTAGGCTTCAGGATCCATATTCCAGACTTTTGATAACCACAATGATTGGGCAGCAGCTTGTATTTTATGGGTGACTTGGGAGCAGAAATCTCTGCCAGTGGTAGCTGACTTTAGTAATCATGTGGGTGGGTCTGTGCATGAGAAGGGTCTCTGGCTTCTCCCTTTTGCCTCATGCTGTGCTGATCTCTGTGTTTGTAGTCATGTTCAGGTGCTTAAGATTCCTTCATAATCTTTGAGTGATAGTCCTCTGTCTGCTCACTGTGAACAGCACACTGTGCCCAGAACTGGTAACCAGAAATCTTCAAAGATGAAAAGGAACACAGAGTAATTATAATAAATTGCTAGCTTTATTGCACATTTCCTGTGTCCCAGATGCTGTTCTGAGTGCTTCCTGTGTATTAACTCACCCGACCCTCATACAGCCCATGGGTGGACACTCATATCATCCCCAATTTGTACATGGGGAACCTGTGGTTCATGGGGTTAGTTAACTTAATCAAGGTCACTGTGGTCATATGGTGAGTGGGTGACAGCTGGGATTCAAACTGGGAGGGCTGCCCTCCTCATTGGGTCATGTAGTGTGTAAGGGCATAAACAACATGATGAATGGCACACATGGAAACAGCGTCTTAGACCTGCTTCTTAGAGTTTGGAAATCTCTGTGCACCTCCCACATCTGATGGGTCCATACAGCTGTGCAGCAGAAGAAAACTTACTCACCTGTATTTTGGACAGCAAGGAATATAAGAAATGTGTTAGTGGAGTCCAAGTCTTAGCCCCTGTGACCTCTGGGGAAGGGCCTCGTTCCTCTGTTCTGAAGTCACCTGGACTACGAGGACTTGTCTGATGGCTCATTCAAAGGACAGTTCTTCAAGTATTTGAGGGTGATTCTCACACATGTCCTCCCAGGGAGTTTTTCACACTGTATTTCCCACTTTTCTTGTTTTAACACTGTATTTGCCACTTTCCTTCATAGTTTCCAGACCTTTCACCACCACCCCACCCCGCATCATTTCATACTCCTTTTAACAGATGTGCTCCATAAGAACGTTCATCAAACCTTTAGGCAAGTGACAAACTGTCTTTAAATGAGTTTCTGAGAACATAACCTGAAGCCCCTGTAAAAAATGTTACTTGTGGGTCTTTTCTGGTGACCTTTGTCAAGACAAGTCTGTTTATCCAGGCCGATGCTCCCCACAGAAAAGAGATGGGTGAAAACCAGAAAACAGAGAACATAAATATGATATTATGATTTATAAGAAGAAATACATGCTTGGTCTGTGCCTCTCAGTTCCTGGCACAAAGCTCCTGAAACCCTTGTAATTTCCTAACTGTCAAGAACACTAGGAGTATCTTTTGTTCTAATATTTGTCTTGCCTTTGACCAGTCTGATGTTTCTATCTCAAGAGTACATTACTTCAGCATCACTTGACTTGTTTCCAGAGAATCTGTCTTATTATTTGTATCCGAGGATATATACAGTGTAGTATTTGAATTTTTTATTGAATTTTTTAAAATTTGAATTTATTTTTTTACTTGAATTTTAAATTTCATTACATTATTGCTGCTTGCGGAAATGGTTTTGATGCGTGATTCTATTTCCAATATATTAGCTCTCCTTCCTAGCCTAGTGTCACAGACAGAATTGTTAACTTTTTCTTCTTAAGTCTTGATCTTGTTGATGTGTGTGTGTGTGTGTGTGTGTGTGTGTATGTGTGTGTGTGTGTGTGTGTGTGTGTGTGTATATATTTATATATATGTATATATATTAGGGTCAAATACAAAATCTTGCAGCACTCAGTCAGTACCTCCTGGGTTTAGTTATTCAATAAGTTATGCATCGGTAGAACTGGACAATAATGAAGCCTATCTTTTGCCCCTTTATCCACTGGACCCAAAGAAGGACTTTTTCAGTGGCCGAGATCAAGATAAGCTATGTCTGCATTTCCTTGGTGTTCTTGTCTAACTATGCTCTCAAAAGAGAAAATGAGATTAACTTGGCCTGCTTTGTTTTTATTAAATCCCTGTGGGTTGTTGGTGCTTGTCACTTTTTTTTCCTAAATGCTCACAAACTATGTGATAAACCATTTTAGAATTCTGCTGTGGGTTAACATCAGGTTAACTAGTCTGTTGATTTCAGAATCTACCTTGTTTTTCTTCATAAAAATCAAAACGATTTTCTGCTTCCCATCTTGTACCATTCTCCCTAATTTCTCAAAGATGAATGCCTGATTTTCAGTCACATTGGTAAATTGTGTCTGTGTCATGAGATGTAATTTGTTTAGGCCTGAATACTCAACTCATATAAAAGGACCCCTTTGGGTGCCTCCTTACCTGTTGTGAACTTTGTTTTTTTTTCAGCTTTTTTTGTCTTTCCAGTTTCAAGACCTTTCCTCTTGATATAACAGATCAAAGCAAAATTGAGTTAGGAATATTTGCTTTCTTTCTCTCACTAACTTAATTGATAGGCATATTGTTGCCACGCAACTGTGCAGCCGTCTGTCCCCCTGCGCTTAACCCTAAACTGACCCTTTTGAGGACACTGTTCATACACCTTGTGTTTCTCTGTTTGGTTCCAAAGGATGGCTGGTTAGTCAATGAAGGGTAAGATTCCTTGTGGGAGGAACAACCTAAGACAGGCACAGTCGGGTGGAGGCCATTAGGATAAATCTCAGGGTTGACAGAGGCGGGCATGAGGCTTCACTCGCCCCCCCCCAAAAGACTGGAGGTTTTCTACCTCTGTAGCTACATTCCTTCCTTCAACCTGCTTGGGAAGTGACCTGATGATGTGATAGTATCTGTCCTCAGCACAATAATCTTATCTTCCTGGGGTCGTTTGCATATAGGGTGTGTGAAGGCAGAGCATCTGTCTTATCAGGACTCTAGGTAATAGCAGCTTGCAGGCATGGGTATCTGGCTTGAGCAAGTTCTCAGGAATGAGACTCACAGACTGTGGAGAGAACAATGCTACTTCTGGGTAGGTGGAGAAATAAAAGCGGTGTGTCGGCCCAATTCGGGGCTCTTAGTCCAGGAGTCTGGAGACCTTTGGCCCCACACTCATTTAACTCTTGACTGCTGTTTCTTTTATTTCTTAACCCTTCGCCGCCCCCTCTTGTTCTCCCACTGCTCATGTTGTGGGGACCCAGGCCCAGAGAAATGAAAGAAACTTCTGCTTCAGCAAAAATTAACAAAGTATCTTGTCAAGAAANCTGGATATACATCTGGACATACACCAGCCCTCTAGATACCCTCTGATTACCTCCCTGAAGGACTCACATATCCAAGCCACTTGACATCTACCTGACAACCACTATCCAGTCCACCAGGTGTGACCAGACCTCCTGGGACCCATCCTTTAGACCTCCTGGCACTTATCCTCTAGACCAGCTGGCATCCATCATCCAGACATCATCCATGCCTGGTAGAGACACTGTAAGCTTAGATGTGCTTTTGGCTCTGATGGCCTCAGTGGGCAGTTTAACCAGACATAATGAAATGCTGAGGAAGTTAATTCATGCTACTTATTCGTACAAAGAAGCCAAATTATTAATTTACCACTATAAATATAGCTATCAAGTACACTGAATACATGAATTGCCCTGGTAGGAAAATTATTTCGGAACCTTGAATAGCAGCTTGACTGTCAGGGCTGGAAGAAGTCTCAGACATCATATAATTCACTCTCTCATCCAATGGACGAGACTGTTAATGATGGATTAATAAGTTCTCCCATGCTGGAGAGTAAATCTTTTTTTCTAGGAATCTAGAATTCCTATGAGAATAAAAGCTACCTTTTACTATAAAAAATTGCTCCCTAATTTACAGGTTTCTCAGGTTTACATTTCTGTGTGTTGAGCTTTGATAAGGTTGGACGCCTTGCTAACAGTGCCCTCCCCCCACCCCCGCCCCTGGCCAGGTGTCTGTGTCCGAGGTGAAGATGGTGGCTGAGGAGCAGTTTGGGGAACTCCTTGCTGCCATGAGGAAGGCCCAGGCCGATGTGATGCTGTTCTTGGAGGAGAAGGAGCAAGCTGCTCTGAGCCAGGCCAGTGGCATCAAGACCCACCTGGAGCACAGGAGTGCGGAGATGGAGAAGAGCAAACAGGAGCTGGGGAGGATTGCTGGCATCAGCAACACTGTCCTGTTCCTGGAGGTACGGGCAGCGGGGGTGCGGGGGAGCCGGGGCGTGGAGGTGGAGGCATCCACACAACTCACGCCAGGGAACTAACTGGCAGATTTGGCAATGGAACTGCTCTTTGATACGTGGGGGCACAGGTAGCTGTGTGGACAGAGAGAAGCAGGTCTTGATTCAGCAGAATCCAGGAGTATAGGAAAGGAAGGGAAGACTTCCCAGAGTGGGAGGCTGGAATCAGGTCATGGAAGATGAGTAATGCTCCAGGAGAGAGAACAGCATATGTGCAGACAGAGAGGTCTGAGAAAGCACAACCGATTTGGGGAATTTGGTGCTTTCATAAGTGATGGATGATGAGGCTGGCCGGGCCAGTCAGACATCTGGCTATGAGAGAAGTTTGCTCTTCATCAGGAAGTCACAGAAGCCAATGGAGGGCTTCAGTGCAGGAGTGATGAGCTCAGATCTGAGTGCTTTAGAAACTACTCCCACAGTGGTAAGGAGACCTGCTGCCTTTTGAAGAGGGCTAATGTGTTCTGGGGTGATTGAGAAAGGCCCAGGAGCAGAGACGAGACTTTTCATCACAATGTACCATTATACAGTAAGGGACGTTTCAGAGATAAACCTGAGCACATGTGATCTTGCAGAGAGGGAACACTAGGTTGGGCATAAATTCTGTCATCCTGGATCTGTCACCAAATAGTGTAGTTTTTAGCAAGTCAATTAACCTCTTTTGGTTTCAAATTCCTCATTTATCAGTCAGTCAAGAGAAGTCATTTCAAGGGTCCTTCAGATCTAATATTCCTAAATACAAGTAATTTTTCTCAATTGCATTTTTGGAAAAGTTTCCTTCTATTATAGTTACAGTAAACATAAATGTTTATTGTGGAAAAGATTGGAAAATACAGAAAAATACGAAAGAAAACAATCACTCTTACTCCCACCACTTAAAGACAGCCATAGTTAACCTTGTAATGAGTGAGAAAGAAAAGCAGGCAAAAATACTGAACTTTTTGTCAGTTCCTTTGCTTTTCAACATCAAAATACGAAGAAAACGTGAATAAAAATTTGGCTTTCCAGGTCATGAGTTTCCCCAAAGAGTATATAAATAATTTCTCTTTATTTTTGTTTCTCCTTTTGCAGCTTTAACATAAAACCTATAATATGCACAAAAATATTTTAGTATGTTAACTTATTTATTTTGATTAAACATAACTTCCTTTCTCCCAAATTGTTAGCTCGTTCAACCTGTATTGAATAACCTATCCTTTCCTCACTGATTTAAAGTGCTACTTTTATCATGGATGGTACAAAATCTATGTACAATATTGAAATGTTTATCAATCTTTCTATCAACTCTCTGGTTTGGGCTTTTCCTTCTCTTCCAACTGATTTATCGAACCTTTTTGGTACAACTGTGTTCATCACTAAGTTTTATGCTGTATCCAGTCTGCTCTTCAATGCTTCAACTGTATTTGAATTTTGGTAATGTGTTACACCTGAAAGCAACTTTTCCTGATCACCACATTGTTTGGAACTGTAGTGGCTTAAGGTGATTATCTATCACCTTAAAAAAAGTGGAAACACTTTTCAAACTCTAAATCACAGCAGAAGAATCAGAGAACATAGTGTATTGGTTTGAATCGAAAAGGAAAAGGCAGTCACCATCCCCGTCTGAGGATGTGTTTGGGCATCTTCTGAGAGCTGCGCCAGGTCCTTCATTCCCTACTGTGACTTGTGTTTAAGCTATTTTTTAAAAGGTCCTGAGGGTATGAGCATAGCAGGAATGTTATCTCCATCTGGACTGTTGACATAAAATGTGTTTTTGTTCTTTGGTTTCCAGTCTGAGCTGTGTATTAGAGCTGCTCATGGCATCTGGCGTCTCTTGATTTTTAAAAGCCCACTTTCTCAGTTTAAAAAATAAATGCTTTCTGTGTTGTTAGACCCTAGTTGGACACATTACATACTTTCTTTTTGAAGTGCACATTACCATCGACCCATTCTACAGATGTAGAAAGTGACGTAATGAGGCGAGTGCCCCAGTTTAAGAAATACAGAAACCAAGGCGAGTTCTGCCATGTTTCCTTTCCTATAGGAGTATTGCAAGTTTAAAGACATCGAGGACAGCTCCTTCCCTAGTGTTTACATAGGACTCAAGGATAAGCTCTCGGGCATCCACAAGGTCATCACGGACTCCACTGTGCACTTAATCCAGTTGCTGCAGAACTACAAGGAAAAGCTTCAGGAGTTCGCCAAGGAAGGTGAAAAGCTATCTGTGGGCTGTGATTTGTGAGTCTC